TTTAAAGTTCAGCTCTTCTTCCCTGGGTCCCTTGTCCCTGTGCTTCCAGAGCTAGAGACAGATGTTAGTAGCATAGCATTTATCACACTATTTAACAATTGGCTGTGTACATGCCTCTACTCTGATATGCACCATAAAGTCTTAGAAGAAAAGGAATATGGCTTATGCATTTTTATATACCAAGGGCCTAGAAAAGTGCCCTCAAATGCATATTTTCTACAATAAATATTTATTCTTAGGTTGTAAATTAAAAAGAGTAAAACACACTGCTATACATTTCTCATAATATACCACCATTTCAAGTGGTGCTTAGGACTTTTTTTTCTTTTCAAATGTATTTTTAATTATGTAAGTAAAAAGAAATATGTGAATGTTGATATGGTTTAGTTCTGGGTCCCCACTGAAATCTCAACTTGAATTGTAATCCCCATAATCCTCATGTGTCAAGGGCCGGACCAGGTGGAGGTAATTGGATCATGGGGGCGGTTCCTCCCATGCTGTTCTGGTGATAGTGAGTTCTCATAAGATTATGGTTTTACAAGTGTCTGGCATTTTCCCTGCTTGTATTCACTTCGTCCTTCCACCTAGTGAATAAGGTGCCTGCTTCTCCTCTGCTTTCTGCCATGATCCTAAGTTTCCTGAGGTCTCGGCAGCAGTACGTAACTGTGAGTCAATTAAAGCCCTTTCCTTTATAAGTTACCCAGTCTTGGGTATTTCTTCATAACAGTGTGAGAATGGACTAATACACATGTATTCTTTTTCTTTTTTTTCTTTTCCCGGAGACAGGATCTTGCTCTCTCACTCGGGTTGGAGTGCAGTGGTGCAATCATGGCTCACTGAGCCTCGAACTCCTCCCACCTCAGCCTCCTGAGTAGCTAGGACTATAGGTGTGCTCCACTATACCCGGTTAACTTTTAACTTACGTTTTGTAGAGACGGGGGTCTCATCATATTGCCCAGGGTTTGTGAATCTATTCTTACTCTTAAAAATATATTAATTCCCTTTCCCCACATAACCACTGTTACTGGCTTGGTAGGTACTTTTCAAGACCTTTTACAATTTTTATTTATTTTAAAATAACAGCTCTATTGAGATATAATCCACATGCCATAAAATTCACTCTTTAAAAATGTACAGTTCAGTGGTTCTTAGTGTTTGCACACAGTTGTGCAACTATCTGATTTTAGAACATTTTCATCATTCCTTTAGTAGTCACTTCCCATTCCTCCCACTCCTCAGCCCCAGGCAACCACTAACTTACTTTCTGTCCCTATGAATTTGCCTCTTATGGACATTTCAAATAAATGGAATCATATGAAAAGCATTTTGTGTTTGACTTGTGTCATTTTAGCATAATGTCTTCAGGGATCATCCATTTTGTAGATATGTTAGTATTTCATCCCTTTTTATGGCAGAATAATATTTTATGTATGCCATATTTTGTTTATCTGTTTATCAGTTGATGGACATTTGGGTTGTTTTCAATTTTTGGCTATTATGAATAATGCTTTATGAATATTATTGTATAAGTATTTATGTAAATGCCTGTTTTTAATTCTGTTTGGTATATATCTAGGAATGAAATTGATGGATGATATGGTAACTATCTTTAACTTTTTGTTGGACTGCCAAACTGTTTTCTGCAGCAGCTGCACCATTTTGCATTCCCATCAGTAAAGTTTGGGGATTCCAACTTTTCCACATCCTTGTCGCCATTTGTTATATTGTCAGTCTTTTTGACCATAAGCATCTTAATGGGCATGAAGTATTCTCTGATTGTGATTTTGACTTTGATTTTCCCAGTGACTAATGATCTTGAGCATTTTTTAATGTGCCTATTGGCAATTCGTATATCTTCTTTGGAGAAATGTCTATTTAAACCTTTTGTTATTTTTTAACTGGGTTATTTGCCCTTTTTTGAGTTGTAAGCATCCTTTATATATTGTGATATGTGATTTACAAATATATATATAGATATTTGTATATGTTATTAGATATATATCAGATATATGATTATTAGATATATATATATAACTTACAAATAAATACATCATATATATAATCAGCTATTTGTGAATAATATATTTTCTCAAATCATGTATCAGATAATTATTTACAAATATTTTCTTCCCAACTTTATCAGATATATAATTTGCAAATATTTTATTCACAACTTTTTTATATACATTTAAATAAATATATATTTATTTTGTGCATATATTTTTATATATAAAGATTTAACTCGTTTTTTTGGAGACAGAGTCTTGCTCTGTCACCCAGGCTGGAGTGCAGTGGCACGACCTCGGCTCACTGCAACCTCTGCCTCCCGGGTTCAAGCGATTCTTCTGCCTCAGCTTCCTGAGTAGCTGGAACTACAGGTGCATGCCACCACACCTGGCTAATTTTTGTATTTTTTTTTAGTAGAGACAGAGTTTCACTACATTGGCCAGGCTGGTCTCGAACTCCTCAGGTGATCCACCCACCATGGCCTCCCAAAGTGCTGGGATTACAGGCATGAGCCACCGTATCTGACCTTGGTTTCTCTTTTTAATACACGTGGGATTGTGCTATTTGTATTGTTGTGTAGATATCTTCCTAGGTCATTGTAGTGTAAGTCTTCCTCATTATTTTAAATTGCTGCATATATGTGCATAAATCATTGCCCTGATGATAGGCATTTTGATGAGTCTCAATATTTTTACTATAATGAACAATGCTGTAATGAGCATCGTGTAGAGGCTGCTTTCTATACATGTGCAAGTATGTAGCATACCTTGAAGACGAATCACTGAATTTAAGGACATCTGCACTTCACACTTTAATATACACTATCAAAATTCCCATTAGAAAGGTGGTACAAATGTACTACTCTTCTAGCAACATATGTGGGAATAACATTTCCTTGAATTCTGACCAACATTCAAATTTAACTATTCTTGCCTATCTGATAAGCAAAAATGTACCTGATTGTTTTAACTTGGAAGACATTATTTCAATATCATGATTTCCATAATTTCTATCATTTGGTGTTCTTATAAAAGCTATCTCTCATCTTATTCTGGAGATCTTTCCTTCACATGGGAACCTCTACATGACACAGAAAAGAAAAGATGGATGGGCGGGGAGAGTCTAGATTTTTATTCTAGCTGTTATGCATGGTGAGGCCAGCTTAAGAAACACATGGCTTTTAAAAGACTTTCCATTGTATTTGGAGCAGACCAGACTTTTAACCACAATCCAGAGACTTTTAACTTCACAAAGATGTGGCATTTTATTTTAATAAAGCTATCGACAGAGCTCCATTTTCGAGTGACTTTTCAAAAGCATCTTTTGTCAGCAGAGGGCTTTTATTAGCTAATGTAACCTTTCTGTACTCCACGTTAGCAGAGAGAGAAAGGAAATGTCCTTGGGTTCCAAATATGGAAAGTTGTGCAAAGACTCTCAAGGAGAAAAAAGTTGTTCCGCTTTCTGAAGCTGCATTTGTAACTCAATGTTGTATCGTAACTGAAAGTAATGAACTTTCCAATGCTACTATCCCGAAGGTAAAAGGTTCACAAGATCATGCCTCTAAACTGGCAATTGCATAAAAAGAGATCACAAAGGATTAAAATGTGGAGAGCAAGTAAAAGTGTGAATTTAGCTGTGAGTGACAACTTGGATAGACTCAGCTATAAAATATCTGAAATGGGGGGAGTTAGGCAAGACCTAGGAGGGAGGAGTGAGAGTAACAGTCTTGGCTGTGGAACAGGGTAGCTAAATGTTTAGGGCTTAATCTGAGCCACTACTGGTAATTAAGCAGCATCGATAAACTGAAGGAGCATGGGGAAGGAGTATAGATTGTGGACTCTGGGTGCAATTCCTGTGGGGTGTTGGTGTTGTGGTTCCATTAATTAGTCCTTCGATGTAAGAGCTCAGTCAGTAGCGGAAGAGGCTGGTGACAGGAGCTTTGACAGGTCTTAGGACACTGGGAAAATAGATTGAGATTCTGGAGCAGGGTTAGTGCAGTGTGGGATCTGAATGTGTTGTCAGGACCGAGCCCAGCGCTTTGATTAAGGTCAACATAGTAGGAATGGAGAAAGTCACTTAAACGGGAACCTGAACCGGGGCTTCATTTCAAAGCCCATGGAACAGATAGGGAAGGGTGACTAATGACTTTTCTGCTGTTGCAGTCTGGCTCACAAACTGAGTAAGGCACAAAAGGCAGAACTGGTGTTGATAGCAAAGGGTTATCAGAGAAGGCAGGAAGGACACCATGTCACACTGCCCCTTGGCTCCCCTGATATCACTATGTTTTTCTTTTTTTTTTTTTTCCCTCATCCTTGTTAGGAACTGGCAGGTAGTTGTGCTTGATGTCTATTAGACTCCAATTCAATTTTGAGGTCCATAATTCAATGGGGATAGATATAAAAAGGGTTCCTTTTTCATTAAAAGGGTAATTACCTTGTTATCAGAGTGCTGGAAAGATGAGAGCTTATGGATTTTTCATAAAATTATAAGTTTATAAGGGGCCAGGTGAAGTCATCTTATTCTGTCCTCAAGCCAGAGACAAATTTAATTCACCCTTGATGGATGGGACATTGTTTAACAAGGATCTCTAGAGAACAAGCGTTGATAACTTTCAGTGTTTTGCAGCCCTCAGTTGTGATATTTCTTCTATCCTGTTGAATATATTGACACAGAATGGAAGTCCATAATCTTTTGTGTTCTCTTTGGGTAGAAAGAACAGTGTTATAAATGTACTTCATTTTCATTATGTTAAAGAATACTTATCAAATGCCTTGTATGTGCTTGGTGCCAGATACAACTGTGACACAGGGAGGAAGACAGACTTGATCCCTGCTGTCATTTAGCTGTGAGACTCATGAGGGATAATAACCGATAATCACATCAGTAAATGACTACAAATTGTAATAAGTGCTGTGAAGGAAACACTAAGGCATAGCTACAGAGGATAGCAAGAGGAAGCTAAGACCTCACTGAGCCTCCAGCTCTGGCCGCTGAGCGATGGTCCCTTCTGTCTGCCAGGGTGGGATCGGGCACTCATCCAGTTGCAGGTGTGAGCACTATTGAGTAGCACAGGGTCTTGAGCTGTGGCCATGGACTTGGGCAACAGGAAATTAGAAATATCCTCTGGAAAGCTGGCCAGATTTGCAGATGGCTCTGCTGTAGTACAGTCAGGTGACACTGCAGTAATGGTCACAGCGGTCAGTAAAACAAAACCTTCACCTTCCCAGTTTATGCCTTTGGTGGTTGACTACAGACAAAAGGCTGCTGCAGCAAGTAGAATTCCCACAAACCCTCTGAGAAGAGAGATTGGTACTTCTGATAAAAAAAATTCTTACAAGTTGAATAATAGATTGTTCAATTAGACCTATCTTTCCAGCTGGCTACTTCTATGATATACAGGTTCTGTGTAATCTGTTAGCTGTAGGTGGTATTAATGAGCTTGATGTCTTAGCAATTAATGGCGTCTCTGTAGCCCTCTTATGATCAGATATTCTTTGGAATGGACCTGTTGGGGCAGTATGAACAGGAATGACTGATGGAGAATGTGTTGTTAACCCAACAAGAAAAGAAATGTCTTCTAGTACTTTAAATGTAGTGGTTGCTGGAGCACCTAAAAGTCAGATTGTCATGTTGGAAGCCTCTGCAGAGAACATTTTACAGGAGGACTTTTGCCATGCTGTCAAAGTGGTAGTGAGATATACCCAACAAATAATTCAGGACATCCAGCAGTCGGTAAAGAAATTGGTGTTACCAAGAGGACACCTCAGAAGTTACTTACCCCTTCACCAGAGATTGTGAAACATGCTTATAAACTTGCTATGGAGAGACTCTATGCAGTTTTTACAGATTGTGAACATGATAAAATTTCCAGAGATGAAGCTGTTAACAAAATAAGATTAGATACAGAGGAGCAACTAAAAGAAATATTTCCAGAGGTTGATCTATATGAAATAATAGAATTATTCAATGTTGTTGCAAAGGAAGTTTTTAGAAGTATTATTTTGAATGAATACAAAAGATGCCATGGTCGGGATTTGACTTTACTTAGGAATATAGCTTGTGAGGTAGATATGTTTAAAACCCTTCGTGGATCAGAATTATTTCAAAGAGGACAACACAGGTGCTTTGTACTGTTACATTTGATTCATTAGAATCCAGTATTAAGTTGGATCAAGTTATAATAGCTATAAATGGGATATATGGGATACTATGAGTTTCCTTCTTATGCAACTAATGAAATTGTCAACGTCACTGGTTTAAATAGAAGAGAACTTGGGCATGGTGCTCTTGCTGAGAAAGCTTTGTAAAATGTTATTCCTAAATATTTTCTTATCACTGTAAGAGTTACATCTCAAGTCCTAGAGTCAAATGGGCCATGTTCTATGGCATCTGCATGGGGTGGAAGTTTAGCGTTAATGGATTCAGGGGGTCCAATATCACCTACTGTCACAGGCGTAGCAATGGGATTGGCCACCAAAACCGATCTTGAGAAGGGTGAAATAGAAGATTATCATTTGCTAACAGATATTCTGGGAATTGAAGATTACAGTGGTGACATGGACTTCAAAATAGCTGGCACTAATAAAGGGATAACTGCATTACACGCTGATATTAAATTACCTGGAATACCAATGAAAATTGTAATGGAGGCTATTCAACAAGCTTCAGTGGCAAAAAAGGAGATATTACAGATCATGAACAAAACTATTTCAAAATCTCAAACATCTAGAAAAGAAAATGGACCTGCTGTAGAAACTGTTCAGGTTCCATTATCAAAACTAGAAAAACTTGTTGGACTGGGTGGATATAACTTAAAAAACATCAGGTTGAAACAGTTGTAACTATTAGTCAGGTGGATGAAGAAACATTTTCTATATTTGCATCAACACCCAGTGCTATGCATGAGGCAAGAGACTTCATTGCCGAAATCTGCAAGGAAGATCAGGAACAGCAATTAAAATTTGGAGCAGGGTATACCGCCACAATAACTGAAAGCAGAGATACTGGTGCAATGGTAAAATTATATCCAAATATGACTGCGGTACTGCTTTATAACACACAAGTTGATCAATGAAAGATTAAACATCCTACTGCCCTAGGATTAGAAGTTGGCCAAGAAATTCAGGTGAAATACTTTGGATGTGACCCAGCTGATGGAAGAATGAGGCTTTCTCATAAAGTGCTTCAGTCTCCAGCTACAACTGTTGTCAGAAGTTTGAATGACAGAAGCAGTATTGTAATGGGAAAACCTATTTTACAGTCATCTAATTATTCTCAGTGATTTTTTTAAAGAGAAATCCAGAATTCTATTTTTTCTAGGGTAAGGTGCTATAGAGCAAAATTTTAGTAGTATCTTCCATTGTGTAGATTTATATACGGTATAAATATATTCTAATTATTTGTATTAAAATACTCATTTACATGTGCCAATTTTGAAATTCAAGAGTAACCCATATTCATTTAATCTTATTTACATTATAAATCAAGAAATATTATTAAAAGTAAGTCATCTATACATCTTAGAAAAGATTACATACCTTTGTTTCTCTAATTCTGAAATATATGAAAGACATAGATATGTCATATATAGTATTATAACAGATCTCTTCCTACATCTCATTTGTCTTCTTTATATACAGTAGTGACAATTTACCCTCAGTCATCCTACAGCTCACCTCTTTGCCCAACAACTTTACTTGCCTACAACTGTCCATAAACTGGAACAGGCCATATTCAAAGCCAGTGCCTATTTATTCAGAATGATTACTAGACATAGTGAGTTGAGGGAGCTAATCTTATACACTTTTAATAATATGATGTCTTTTAAATTTGTCACAAAATCATGAACATAGTGGAATAAATATAAATGAGATTCTAACTAGGATGAGGTAGTAATTATGTATATTTTTCAAATTTACCTAAACATAGGAAAATTATTTACTTGTCAAATTGAACTAGGTCACTTTTGGAATATGTATATTGCTCTAATGTCTGGAAGTTCTTAGTATAAGAGCTGGAGGAATCATGACTTTCAGTTAATAGATGTTTGAAATAGATGTTTAGAGGTTACTGATATACATGTCAAGTTGTTCATTCCCATCATTTAAAATATCACCTTATAATTCCACACAAAAGTAAATGGCATGTGGATGTCATAATTTAGAATGTGTAATCTTTTTAAAAATCTTATAAAAATACACTGGACTCAGTGGTACGTGCCTGTAGTCCCAGCTACTTGGGAGGCTGAGGTGGGAAGATCACTTGAACCCAGAAGTTCAACACTGTAGTGTGCAACAATCATGCCTATGAATAGCTACTTCACTCCAGCCTGGGCAACATAGCAGAACTCTATCTCTAAAAAATGTTTTAAATCTCATAAAAAATAAGTAAATCTGGCCGGGCATACTGACTTGCGCCTGTAATCCCTTTGGGAGGGTGAGGCAGGTGGATCACCTGAGGTCAGGAGTTCGAGACCACCCTGGCCAACATGGCAAAACCCTGTCTCTACTAAAAATACAAAAATTAGCTGAGCGTGGTGGCAAGAGCCTGTAATCCCAGCTACTCAAGAGGCTGAGGCAGGAGAATCTCTTGAACCTGGGAGTCAGAGGTTGCAGTGAGCTATCGCACCAGTGCTCTCCAGCATGGCCACCAAGAGTGAAACTCTGTCTCAAAAAAAAAAAAAAAAAAAAAAGGCAAGTAAATTCATGACTTAGGGCTAACTAGTTCATAAAATATTAAAAATTTAGCTGGTTAAACCAAATATTTTAAAGATATGTATATTTATGTCAAACATTGATCATATATCTATTGTGTGTAAAACAGCATGTTAGGCAATGTTGATATACTGTCTGAAATATTAATGATTAATTGAAAATGAAAGGTTAAATTAAAAAGAAAACTTCATTGAGATGAGTGATCAGGAAAGGCCTCTTTTTTATAAGTGACACATAACATGAGCCCCGAATTATAAAAGGAACTAGCCTTTCACAGTGAAAAGAAGAACACTTCTGACAGTGGGAGCAGCATGTGCAAAGGCCCTGCACTAGAAAAAGCACAGTGCATTTTGGGAATTTAGAGAGTTCACTATGCCAGGAGCGGAGGGGTCAAGGAAGAAGGTGGCATGCTATGAGATTAGAGAAGTAAGGGGCCAAATAATGCTTGATCTTATAGGCAATGGTGAAGAGTTTAGATTTTATTGTAAATGGAATGTATTTAAAAGATCACTCTGGCTGCTGTGTGGCAAATGAACTGGAAGTGGAAAAATCAGAACAGAGACAGAGAGAGGTTAGGAGGCAGGCCAGGAGGAAGATGTTGGTGGCTTGGACTAAGCTGGAGTCAGAGAAAGTGGATAGATGATTTCGAGATACACTTAGGAGGTCTTACTGATGGTTGGATGTAGGGAAAGGGTAAAGAAAAGATACAAATTCAAGACTGACACTGGTAAGATGATAGTTCCATCTGGTAGACAGAGAACAAGCAGGGAGGAACAAGCCTGTAGTGGGAAGGATGGGGGGCAGATGTTTACATTTGCACGTGTTAAGTTTGAGCTGCTTGGGAGACCCAGAAATAGAACTGTTGATTCTAAGTCTGGAGTTCAGAGATGTCAAAACTGGAGAAATACATTTGGATGACTAAGTCTGTCAATGAGAATAAAAGCTTGGGAAAAGAATGAGTAAGGAAGAGGAGGAGAGAGAAAGAAAGGAGGCCCAGTTGTGAACTTCAAGAAACTCTGTACATCCCCCCACAGCCTTGAGAACAATTGATTGCAAAGTAGAGAGAGCACCAGACTGAAAAGGATGTGGGTTCTAATCCCATTTTAGTTTTAGACACTATGACCTTGGGCAAGTAACTGCTTCTTTCTGAACTCAGGATCTATACTTTAAGGTAAAAATTATTCTCTAATTCTCTGCCATCACCAATATTCTGTAATTCTCTTGGTATTAGGCTCATTTTCCAATTACTTTGGGCGTATTTGTAACTCTCTTTACCTACCTTAAATTGTCATATCCAGAATACCCTTTTCTAATCATGATTTGAATTTTAGGTGCATTAAGTTAACATTCCTCTAAATCTTTCCCTTCTGCCAAATTGTGATTTCTTGGGGGGTGGAGGGGCAGTTGTGCTTGTGCTTTTTGGCTTGTGCATTCCAATCCAATTTGGGCACAGTGAGGCATCTGTGGCACAATGGAGATTGGTATTGGTAGGCTTCCTTGTTTGTTAAAAATGAACTTCCTTATTTTTGCCATTTCTGTTGAGCTCAATTTCCCAGTCTCTTTTAAATCAGCTTTAGAGATTTGAGGATTGCCAGTGGGGTGTGTTATTTGACCTCACTTAATGTTTGTGTTTGGTTCAGATCATAAAGCAAACCAAATTGACTGCCTCTGCTCAGTACCCAATAGGACTTATAACCCAGGCAAAATGTGGGTTGAAAGATGTATTCCCAATTGCAATGTAGTGGAAGTGTTTGTATTAACAAAGTTTCAGAGAACTGCTTAAGGATCTCAGGGTGGTATCTGTTCTAGAGATTTTTTTCTTAACAAATTAACACTGTCAAATTATTCCGGTGGAAATAATTTTTTAACAAAGTGTCTTTGCTGTCCTGTCACAGTGCTTTATTGCTAATTTTTCTCATGAGCTGATTCTCCCTGTTGCTTTTGCCTTTGTCTCACAATGCACCATCTGAACCTACTAAGAAAGTTGGAAAAAAATTTTTAAAAAGACTTTATACTAAAAAACAAAAACCACAGTTCAGTGGTTAGTAAAAAATGATAGCTAAGATAGCAATTAGATGTCCTTTCCTTTTGACCTAATAAAGACTCTGAAACTGGCACTGGGTCATCTCAGCAAACACAATTGTTATAGTAATGACTTTCCTCCTATTATAGGTAAGGGCTTTTCAGTAATTTATCTTTACTACATATCCCTGTTTTCAGGATTCAAGCCTCTAGTCATGACTGATATGGTTATTAGAGACAGAAGAGGTTAGATTAAAGAAAGCAATAATTCCTTGTTGCATCTTGGGTTATTTGGCCAAATTAACAGTGATGTTAAATGCGTGATGCACGTAATGAATGTAGTGAGGTATAAGCCAGTACCATGATTGTGCCCAGGTGAAATACAACATTATCAACCTGCTTTTGCATATTTTTTTCTTCATGGTCCTAGATGGAAACCCTTTCAAATTCTCCAAAATAGATTCAGCTAGGGGAAACCTCAATATCTGCTTTTATATGAGGCAAATATTCCCAAATTGTGACTTTGACTGCATTATTTACCCTTCCCCTTTTCTACCTTTTGAAAGTTGAATTGTGCCCCCTCCCAAAAAGTATATGTCCACGTCCTAACCCCCAGTACCTGTGAATGTACCCCGATTTGGAGAAAAGGTATGTGTGGATGTAATTCAGTGAAGGATCTCTAGATAAAATCATCCTGAGTTTACTGGGTGAACCCTAAATCCAATGACAAGTGTCCTTATAAGAAGAAGAGAAGACATAAACAGAGGATAGGATAAGGCCATGTGAAAACAAGGCAAAAATTGGAGTGATTTGTCTGCAAGTGAACTAACATCAAGGATTTCAAACAATCACCAAAACTAAGAGAGAGTTGTAGAATGGATTCTCCTTCAGAACCTTCAGAAGGAACTAGCCCTACCAACACTTTGGTTTTGGATTTCTGGTCTATAGAATTGGGAAAGAATAAATTTCCTTCCTTCCTTCCTTCCTTCCTTCCTTCCTTCCTTCCTTCCTTCCTTCCTTCCTTCCTTCCTTCCTTCCTTCCTTCCTTCCTTCCTTCCTTCCCTCCCTTCCTCCTTCCCTCCCTCCCTCCCTCCCTTCCTCCCTTCCTCCTTTCCTTTCCTTTCCTTTTCTTTCTTTCCTTCTTTCCTTTCTTTCTTTTTTTTATGGAGTCTCACTCTGTCACCCAAGCTGGAGTGCAGTGGTGTGATCTTGGCTCACTGCAACTTCGACCTCCTGGGTTCAAGTGATTCTCCTGCCTCAGCCTCTCAAATAGCTGGGAATATAGGCAAGTGCCACCACGCCTGGCTGATTTTTATATTGTTAGTAGAGACGGGGTTTTACCATGTTGGCCAGGCTGGCCTCAAACTTCTGACCTCAAGTGATCTGCCCGCCTTGGCGTCCCAATGTGCTGGGATTACTGGCATGATCCACCACTCCCGGCCAGGGAGAAAAAATTTCTATGGTGTTAAGTTTCCTAGCTCGTAATAATTTGTTACAACAGCCCTAGGAAACTAATATACTATACTCTACCAATCATTCTGCAAGA